TGGTGTACATTTGCCAGTTAATCACTCAAGAACAACAAAATTTCACAGGACACCTGTAGTTACCTTTAAGCATTTGTATTTTATTGTGTGTGGTGTACATGCAGATATGGCTAGATCAATCACCACAAATCTTGAGTATAGAAAATAGGGCTGATTAGAATAGGAACAATTTGGCTTTATGAAAAGTCAAGACGGACATAGTCGTCTCAGTCAGTCAATCTACCCTGCCTTTAGCTGTTCGCTTGAACTGCTGTTGCCAAGTGAACCAGGGTTCCATTTGCCTTGCAGAGGTGTTTGCTCTAATTGCCATCAAAACAAAGCATTTCTTTGAGATCTGCACAGACCTAGTTTAAGAAACACAAAAAGACATCCGTCGGCTGTTACAATCATGCATGCATTTATTTTGCTGAATCTATGTACGCTGAAAAAAAAATTAGCCACTTATGATGGACCTTCAGATAGCTCATATTTTGATTTCTGTGATTGCTAACAGATATGCAAAGGAATATTACTTCATCTCTGTAAAATCGACAATTGTCACTTATCTTTCTCCTGTTTATTGTGCTGCAGAATATTGTATTACTGCATGTAATACAAACCAATAATTAATGTATGCTACAAGGAGACATATTTGTTCTGTTCCTTGCATTTTAGCCATATTAAAATACAATGTATTTTCTGGTTGTTGTTTTTTTTTTTATTATTATTATTATTATTATTATTATTATTATTATTATTATTATTATTATTATTATTATTATTAGTTTTCTTTCTGGAATACTAAACTTTCAAGAAATATATTCCCTAACAGTTCACATACATTAATTATGTAATATGAAAGATGATTGGATTTGTCACTGCTGAAACTGTTTAAATTGCCCCCACAACTCCATTTTGCTCAGTATTATTATATTGTTTCAATAAAATTTTAATTAGATTTTTATACTTTGCATTCTGCTTTTAGAACCCTAGACAGCAGGATGTTCAATTTAGTGAACAAAAACATTCTGTATAGAATAGACATAGTATCATTAGACAGTTGAATAAACTAAAATGTTTATCACATAGACCACCTTCACAATAATAGGGGGGGGAGAGCACATTTTTCTGTAAATTGGCATCCAGATCTTCTGTTTTATCTCTGAAATCGGTCTTACATCCTTGTGAAAGTTAAAATCTCATAGACAGATTTAATTATGGCAAAATTTCATCTCTGAATTCTAAGTGTTTCAAATGGAATTCCAAATGGAAACAAGCTTTACAATAATGATATGCTATTAAACAAAATAATTGAATTGAAAATTGATTTTCAGTCTGATAGTAATATTTTTTCCATTTTAGCAAAATTTATCAATAATACTTGGATCCACTGACCTGAGAATAATTACCCAGATTAAACTATCATGGATAGAAATGCACAAATAAGAGTTTGAAGGAGATTCTAACAGCCTTTGCAAATGCCTCTCAGTTTAGATAATTCATTTGAGATACAAGAGACATGGGGAATTTACCTTCCAAACTGATTAATACTATCCAGGATTTAATATTGAATTGCATTTAGATCCAAGTTTAAATCTATGACATAACTACGGCAAAGCTAAAACTGTAGGTATCATTAAAAATAGTGATGGGTACTGTTTGGATTTACCTTGAATTTACCTTGAAGCAACACTATTGAGTCCCTGTTTGAGAAAAAAACATGACACACAAAATGGCTAAGTGGAAAAAGCTAGTTCCAGATGTCTTGTGACCGATCTTCTCCTGAGACTGCACATGCATGTATACGAGCTACGGAAGATAATCTTGTCTGATAGACCATTTTCAGACTCTATTTAGTGAACATTTCTTTCAACTGAGTGTATTTGACTTAGTTATTGATTGTTTCCTAAGTCCACCTGCAAGATATTCAAACTCATAGCACAACCAAGTTACATGGGGATTTTGATCCCCGCAGTACTAACCAAAGATCTGATTGGTAGCCTCTATATTGCCTACTTTGTTTACCTATAATGACTCCTCTCTCAAATATCTGGTGGATCAATAACTATTCCAAAATTTAAGAAAGAAGATAAGATTGATCTAGCCAATTTCAAGTCAATTAAGCTTCTGAGCATTAGTATGCTATATGCAAGGCATCTTTATGTAAAATTTCTTGATTGGTTAGCTGAAGAAATCACCAATTTTAGAAATGAACAATCAACTTTCAGTAAATATCAAAACAATTCATAATTTCTCCAAGGACTTACAAATCATTGAGGGAGACTTGGAGGTCTTACAAAGAATTCTCAGAAGCAGTTCTCACGATTCTTGAAGAGATAAGATAGTAATTAAGCTCGTATAAACAAAATTAGTATCAATATATAGTCATCTCTTACAAAAAGCAATAACATTTTAAGGGTTATTTTTAATTATATCTGTGTTTTATTATATGATAATCAGTTTTTAGGCAAAGTTGCTCCATCCTTAAGTTGAAACTTTCCCCAAGCTGGAAAAAAAAATTCAGCTGTACATTTCTGCCAGTTAAGGCACAACCAATAAAAAGGCTAGTAATACTTGTCTTATAGATATCGAGTAGTATGATTACATGTACTTTCAAAATATTGTAAAATGGATCTTTTATAGTCTATATTGTGTTGATAACATTCATTCATAATAGAACAAACTAAAAGAAAATGCTACAATTCAGCATTTATATTGTGGATTAAGAGTATGTACATATTTGAAGCAGGTTCATCTAGCATTATAAGGTTGGGGATAGTGTTTCTTAAATTTGTATCCCAGGTTGGGAATTCATAGAAGCCTTCTAAATTGCCTGGAGAGCAACAGAATGAGAAAAGTATTCTACTCAAGACTGAAGTGAAGAATGTGACTTTCAGCAGTTTAAACATTTTAATTATAAATGCTTAAGGGAATAAATACACTAGAAATGGAAAATTAACAATTCTGGGACAAAAGCTCTGTCCTTTTAGGATATCACTTCATGTCATTATCATTATAAGGGAGTATTCAAAACTGGACTTTTCATGAGTTTAACAGATGTTTTTCCATGTTATCACTTCTTTTATGCTTGTACGGAGTCTTTCTATTCCAGCTTGATTTCTGACCAAACATGACTTTATTGTTTTCTTGGCATTGCTATGAACGTGATTTCCTATTGCTCTCCCTTGGATATTTTTTGAAATTGGTAGTCCAGACTACTACTACAGTTTGAGATTTCCTCTGATTCAAATATTAAAATGACCCAATCCTGCTTTTCTTGAAATCAACAAGGGTTGGCTCTGTGCTGCCACCTGCTAAGACATAATACATAGAAGACATACAAATAAGTGCAAACATACTGATGAACACTGCCAGCAATGTGTGTTTTTATTGTTTGCTGTTTTGAGAGAGCTTGCTATACAGCAACTAAAATCCTTTAGGAATAAATTAACTATATAAAGCAACTCTATATTGACATGAAAACAAAATGAATTTATAAAGGTCTTAGTAATTCTCATGAAACTAAGCATTGTTTTACATTTTGCATTCCTAAATCTGAATATAGGTGGAGAGAAAGCCACCCCCCACCCCCAAGGCTTTTAAATTCTCAATACACTGTAGAATCCTTGACAAGTAGGAATGAAAAAACAAAGGAGAAAAATATAAAATGGTCAAGGAGGAGGCAACCCCTCACTCCTTACTATAAATAATTGGCCATTCAAAGCTAGAGGGCATACACCTTAGAAAATAGGAATTTCTTTAGATTCTTTTCATTGCCTTTATATTCTCAAAATCGTATTTCCATTCTTGACATTTTTATCCAAGCAGATCTTGGCAATGTTTGAGTGATTTATTTATCTCAATTCCTGGTGACAGCCACCACTTAAGTCCAAAAGTAATGCAGTAGGCAGTAGCAATTGCTTCCCAAGTATAAATGGACAAAGGTGCTTTTTGAAGGCCATGCCTCTGATTTGGCAGCCTCTTCTCTTAGTGAATAAGAGAAGGCAGTTTAAAGAGGAAGATATAGAACTTTTCCCCTCTTTGGTTATAAAATTATTCCTATTGAAAAGTACACAATTTTATGGGGCACATTAGCTACAATGGCCCTGGCATATGCTACAGTGCAACTGTGCAACTTCATCCCTTACTTTGATTCTTTGACATTTTTAAATCAACTGCCAGTAAGCATGCATTTCAACAACCATGTTTTAGACTATGTTTTGTGTTTATTACCATTTTTAACACAGTTCCAAGATTAACATTTCTGTTTTTATTTGTTCGCCTATTTTCATTGGCCTTAAACTGGTGGTTTTTAAAAAAGTTTAAATTATGGCAAATTCTGGTGGAAGCCATGAACTCCAACAATCTTTTGTGGCTCAAAGCTTTTTCTTTCTAATTCTGTATTCATGTGGTGTGATTTCTACATTCACCTTCCGTCCTGAATTAACTCCCAATAAAATTATGCATGATATATATATATATGGAGAAGTTTGCATTTTATTATTTTCTGAGGCATCACTGTACAATTTTACATCCAAACAACATGTACAGATTTCCAGCTGAATGCTTTTGCAAACTTATACTTAGGGCAAACATTAATATCTTATATGAATAGAAATTGTCCCCTGAAGTAAGGTAAGGTCAGATTCAGCCACATCCTGGATGAGTGGCTTTGCAGCAACATACATTTTAATCACTGAAGGAGCAGTACAAAATGCAAGAATGTTGGTCCCAATAGCTGTGGAAAGAAGTCAGTGACTGAGAAACAGATGTTGCTACATTTCCGGATATTAGATTCCAAATCCTGAATTCCAGTGATTGAGAACCAACCCAGTGTTGAATGAAAAACGAGTTTCTATTAAGAAGCAAGCAAGACGGTGCAAAAAGCAGACCAAGGGGAAACGAAAATTGATATTTATACATTTCAGCTATGGTCTGCTTAGTTTTTAAAAGCGGGAGCGCGCGCTCGCGCGCGACACACACCCACACACACACCACACACACACACACACAGAGAGAGAGAGAGAGAGAGAGAGAGAAGAAACGACAGGCAGACAGACAGGTTGCTTGCTTCCTCTTCCTAATTTTCACTGACCTGCACTAAATGGGAATATAATTGAGAAAGATGGCGAAGTACAGCTGAGTTACCAAGCACTTTAATTTCATTCCCCGTGTCCCTCAGTAATACCAGTACTCCGGAAAAGTGAATGGGGACCGTCGCGTCCTAACTATACTGACGAGAAAATCCCAAAGAGTCGAAGCGATTGGCGAGAGAGCGCCGGGAAGGAAGGCGGGGGGAGCGAGCGGATAGGCGATTTTGCGACTGCTACCCAAGCAAGCACCAGCCTTCACTAGCCAGGGTGCGTTGGCGGGAGGCGCGCCCTCTCCCTTGCTCGTTCTCTTTAATTCAGCTCCTCCCCCCGTGGTTGTGGCTTTCCCTTCCATCAAAAGCCCGATCAGGAACGCCAGTCTTTTGGTGGGGGGGCGGGAATCCGAAAGAGAAAAAAGAAAAAGAAAGAAAGAAAGAAAGAAAGAAAGAAAGAAAGAAAGAAAGAAAGCACCGCTTTCCCTTTTTCTATCAGCTTCAAATACGGCAGAGTCGGAAACTTCTGTGGAGTTATTGGCATCTTTTATTATTAAAAAAATAATAATTCAAATCAATTAAAACATCTGCAGCGTCCCCCTTTCGGTTTGCGCTCTGTTTTTTTGTTCATTTCCCCTTTTCCTCAAATCCGCGTTGCTTTTATTTTGTTTTGTTTTATTTTTTTTGTTTTCCCCCAACCGCTTCCTGGGAAATGGGAAAAGTTACTAGCCTGTACCCAGGGTGGCATTTCGCTTTGCTCGCCGCTCGGACCTGGCTTTTGATCCTTACTTTTGGCTTTATCGGAGCAGACATCACTTGCCGATCGTGCCGCTGGCAGGTGCAGCTACAGCCGCAGCCACCAGCCCGAGGATTATTAATGAACTTGAGGACGGCACGAGGAGGCGATGGGGCCGGAGAGATACCTGTGGATAAAAGAGGTGAGAAGCCCGCGGATCGCAGGCAAGAGAGGGCGGATGCCGGCAGTCCGATCTCGGCGGCTTCTGCCGGGGAGAAACATGCCGGGATGGGATCAAAGGGTTGGATGGGACCGAGCAAAGTGACCGGCGAGCTGCCAGAATTTCCCCCGATCCGACCCAGACTATCTCCTCCGGATGTTGACAGGCCCACCCGCAAAAAGTTAGCCTCGGCTCCCGCTCTGTTTCCAGCGGGGAGCGGAGGGCGTCGGGGGGCCAGTTCGGAGGCCGGCCGGAGGTCCGGATCGGCGCTCCTGAGCCGGCGGAGAAAAAATAACCGGAACGATCGGAGGAGGAGGTCGAGTCGGAAACCCAGAGGAGCTCCGGCTGAAAGAGACGCGCCGTTGGAGAGCAGGGCGCGGGCAGCGCCGGAGCAGCTGCTGGCAAAAGCCACGCGCTTCCGACAGGAAGAACTCAAATTGACAAGCACGACCTTTGCTCTCACTGGAGATTCGGCGCATAACCAAGCCATGGTGCACTGGTCGGGCCACAACAGCAGTGTGAGTAGCCATAACAATTAAGCAACAGACCACAGTGCACAGGGCAGGGAGATGGCGCTCTCCCAGCAAGCATTAAATCCTTTCCCTGCTGTTTGCTTTTCAGCAAGATGTAACCCGCTTTCCCTTTCCTCTGTGTTGGAGATGATGATGATGATGATGATGATGAATGCAACAGCAATTGATCATAACAGTGGCAGTAGTAGCATTGGCTCCTTTTGGAGGAGTTTTCTCCCCCCCCCTTTTTTTTTCTTTTACAATCTTATATTTATTGTATCTGAAGCGGCTTCTAAGGGCTTCCTTTTCCAAGCAGAAAGTTTCTTGGCTCTGCTTGGTAGTGCCTTGGATTGCATTGACCAAGAGATACAAATTTAAAAGGAAATCTTTGGCTAGGCTAAGGCTTTCTGACATTATTGGGATAAAAGTGTGTGTGAGACCTAGTGTGGAATAAGCAAAACAAAAGTTAAAAAAAAACATTTCGTATTTCAGTTCACAGATACGTTTTCTTGTTATCACACAAATGTCAAAATTTAAGGATTAAGAATTTAAGGCTAAGCAATGGAAATGTAGTAAAGCATCCTATTAGGAGTTAAAGCTCTCTATCAGCTGAGTAGTGTGTACTGATTGCTATCTACTATCCATTATGTTCTATCCATTGCTCTTCAGAAGAGATTTATCTTTATTTCCGTCCATGAATAAGACAATCTTTTCTTTTCCTTTTTACACTTTCAAACTTCAGGATATAAACTGCTTTTAGAAAGTGTATACAGTTATCTTCCTGGTGCTAGATCAGAAAGTGTTTCTTGTCTATATATTGTCACTAGTTCATTATTTCTCTAGCTTTCATTTAAGAGAGGATGTCACCTACAATAAAAGCTCATTAAGGGTCAGTGGTGACCAGAGGCTTACCTACTGTTATAATTTCCTTTAGGCTGCCCCTGATTCCTTTCCCATTCCTTCAAATTCCTTAAAAGAACATAGGTTTCTGGGTCAAGCCTCAGTATCCGCCTTTAGCTGTCTCAATTCATTTGGGTGGAAAACCAGAGTTTTCTCTCACCTGTTGTTCTTGGGTTTATCCCTATAGTTCAAATGAGATGTTTCTCTGTCTGTTAATTCAACTCTTACCTTGTAAGTGTCTTTACAAAAAGTAATTCTAGCTTTCCAAGATGTCCTGTGCTGCTATAATGAAGATCAATCCAAATGAATAGTTTAACTACTTGTTTAACACCAGTGTTTTGCAGATTGAATCTTGTTTTTTGGAAGAACTAGGATAATGCAGGCTGGAGTTCTCCATATAATAGCATCAGAGTTAGCCTTCTAGGAGAAATTAAAGGGAGACAAAGAAATAGAAAAGACACCAAACCCCCCTTCCCCCCCAAAAAAATGAGATAAAGGTGACTCTTATTCAGGGATATATAATTTTTCACAGTCTTCTTTGCTCCTTTGTATTTATTTCTATTGTCCGTTTGCTAATTGTAAAATGGAGCTTAGCTATCTGACCATTATAAAGCCCTTTTTGTATGAAAGTAATATTACAAAATATTAATTTTACTGTGACTATTTATTATTTATATGAATGTCATCAGCACTTTTAGAGGAGTTAGACTTTATTGACTAAACTGTAATCTCATAAACTATTCAAAAACTTTTTAATCAAACCATACAAGCAAAAATCCTGCTTTGCTTGTAGAATTATAGGACCTTTCCCCTTTTTACTCATTTTGGCTATCAAATGTCTGATACAAATCCATTAAAATCAATCCACCTTGAACTGCAGACTTCTAAAGCTGATAGAAAAGTTTATCATTGCTTAAACAAGAAATGTCTTCATATCTTGCAATTTAAAAGTAGAATAAATTCTTGAAGAACAGCAGATTATGTATGCACTTTACATTAAAACAAGCTATAATTCTGATTATTAGGATTATAATTTTCCAAATTTCTTATTTCTCTTCATTGCTCATTTCCATGGGGGGTAGGGAAGTTCTTCAATTAATTTGGCTATGTCCTTTAATGCATGAAGTGTTTGGAGGCATTATCTACATAGGAGATATCAATCTTTCCTTTTCTAGTTGTGTATTTGTATTTGTAGAATGGAGAGCTTCAGCCATTCCTTAAATGGTTTCTCAGTGAATAAAATGAAAACAGTGCTGAGTCATTCTGTTTGGCTGAAGAAAAGCCTTTTGTAATATCTACTACAATCTTAAATAATCCTGTTTCTAAAATGAAAGTGACATGTTGCCTACAATTTATCATGTTAAGATTTTAAAATAAATTTCATTGTTGGCCACTTTCATCTAGGCTATCAGGACAATGTAAAAGGTTTAATTTATGTAACAAAACTAAAGGTGAGTTTTGCATCAATTGTTGAACAGTTGTTTTGTGTCTACAACCATAAATTACATGCTTGGTTTGACAAGTAGCGGACGTCATAGTGACACCAGCAGTGATGCAGTCTGGAATTATTTCCCTTAACATCTGCATTTTCTTTATATCTTACCAGGTCAGTCCACATTCAAATCCCATTTACTAGTTGTCCATCCACAGAATAGTTGTTGCTTATTTCAACATTTATCCTTTTTAAAATGCAAATAAAATGGAATTACCTGAATACAATAACCCAATCCACTTATGTTTTTCAGCAACTGATATTCAGAAGAATAGTTCTTCTATTACAAGACATCTTATATAGCTGTCATGACTAGTTGTTGTTTTGATTGTTTTATCCATCATAATTTTTTCTAAGTTATTTAGTTGTATGGCCATCACTATATCTTGGTGGTGAAATTGAGAGGCTAATGGTGAACTTTAATACATTTTTATTATCACTGATTACATAGCTGTCTATACAACACATTGGATTAAAGAGGACATATTTTAATGAAATAATGAGACTCCCAGCTAGTTAGCTTTGGAAATTTCTCCTTGATAGAGAAACAAGCATTTGGATTTATTGCTTGACAAGTAGTAGACTGACTCTAAGGTTTAAACTAAATATTTGACTGACCAAAAGAAATAAGAGGAATGAAAGTGTTTAAGAAACCAAGTGTAATTTTCAAAATTGGTGAATCAAATTTAACCAACCTGTAATTTTTTTGTAGTGATATTAAGCAGATTCATGAATGTGTGTATGAGTATATTTACGAAGGATTTTAAAAGCGTGTGTGATAATGTCTATGAATGGATCTTTTTTGACAGTTCTGAAGAATGTTGAATAAATAATAAATAATAACAGGCACTAGCTATTGTCACTGTCTCCAGAAAGTCTGCTTTTGGAGAAACTTATATTTAGAATTGAATATAATTCTTTATTGGCCAAGTGTGAATGGATACACAAGGAATTTGTCTCCGGTGCATAAACTCTCAGTGTGATAAACTAGTGGTTAGTTGAAATGGAAAGCCCATTTCAGCTATGAAACTTTGAAACTTTCACATCACTCAAAGTAGCCTACCTCACATGGAGGAAAGTATGTGTGTGAAATCCTTGAAAGAAAAGTGAAGCCACAAGTGTAATAAAGCTGTATTGATCAGGTATCAGATTTAAAACAAGGATCTGAGCTTTTAACTGATACATTAATAGTTCAGAATAGAAATAAAAGATATGCAAGACTAGATCTTCAATTTTCAGCTGCCATGTAGCCATTAAAGACTCACAATTGTCAGAAAAAATGGTAGTAATTATTGAAAGTTACAAAGACGGATGTGAATATTGTGATTGAATTTGCTTTTCTGCTGAATATTCCTTTGCAACTAAATGTTGACATCCAACAGAACATTATAAAGTAGTAACTATTGTTTAATATTTTTCATCAGCAGAATAGCTATACTTTAGAAACTGTTTCTTTATATTTTTCAGATTCAAGCATGGCTTTCAGGCTTGTTTGGAATTTTACATGTCTAACATTTATATTTAAGTTGTCCAAATCACTTTGATTAACAAACAAAAGTAGAATGAGACATATTTGTATCACGACAAGGCCCAAACAATGTATTCCCAAAACGATTAAGGTATTATTATAGTCCTGCCGAGGCTTCCCTATGTTCTCCTTAGAAGAACACAGCGAGTGCATTTATTGCCTCTTTTGTCACTTCTTCATTTCTGTTGTCCATGTTGTTGACAACCATGTGTTTCAAAGGAAATCCTCTGTCCTGTGGTGTCTAACTACAAAGGCTTTTAAGCTAATGTCAGCCTTTTGACTTAGACCAGGTTAGGAAATAAAGTGCTTTTGTTGCCCCCACATTTCACAAATGTGTGAAATTGTCCTGGCTTCTGGCATTTACTTTAGTTGCAGAGTGGTCAAAAGGTTTGAGTAAATGTTTTTTTTTTCAGTTTGCAGTAATCTCTCCAACAGTTATGCAGTCTTCAATTAAATCCCAAGAAAAGATGTCATGATAGAATGTCTGCTTGGAGGTCTTTTCAGTTTAGGAAGCCTGGGCAATCAGAGAAGCTGCAGAATGATGGAGGGAAGTGTTAACATCAACAACCTTCTCTACCTTTCAGTAATAATGTGAACTCAAATTGCCAGCCAAAGGAAATTCTAAAAATATTCTAAAGTACCCTGAGAATAAGCAATTAAAACTGAAGCTTGTTTTGCAAAAGAACATTTGGAAGCTGGATAATGAAATTTTAGCACTGTACTTCTCTTCTGCAATGGCTGATAAGAACAGCAATGCTAAATATTTTTTCGTTTGAGGTTGACTCCTGGTGACTACATGGACCGTGCAAATCATTCCATGAGAGAATCTGACACGACCAGATAACCTTTTGAAAACTTTGAAGCAGGTGCATCGAGTCTGTGAGCAATTACTCTGCCGTTATGAGGAGTCATCCAGATGGACTTTTTAAAAAAAAATTGCCAGCAAAACACCTTGGTGAACAATTTGCACAAATCTGATGAAGAGAAAATGATGGAAGATAGCTTGAAACTTGGGGCACACCTCTGGTTCCCCTCATTGCCCCCTACACATTTGTATGACATGGCTGTCATGATGTTACTTTCATTTCAACCTTCTCATAGTTGTCTTTAGGAGTTACAGTTTTAACTGTAGCATGTTTTAGCATGTTTTTGTGACATGCTCCATCAATGACGGAGCAATGTGGTTGCTTACACAGTCAGGGATGGGATCTAGAATAAGTACTTCATATTACTATGAATTCATTTTATTCCATGGGACTTGCCCTTCAATTTAGCTTGGGTTTCAAGAGAGACTGGACACCTGGTTTATAATAAGGCATCTGCCCAGACAATGCCTGATACTTTCTGAAGCACACGCCAGATCCTATGTGGATTTATAAACAAGGCTATATTCTGCTGTCTGTGTAAGGCTGGTTCTGTCACCATCTTGGATATGCTACAGGTTTTCAGTCCTCCAAGATAGGACTTCCCATGACAATAATTTTATTGGTTTATTATTCTGGCACAATTTTGCCTGTTTTTCTACGGTTTCATGACTGCCCATAGGCTACTTTCAGGTCCTGCCAGTCATAGGGATAGAACAGGACTCCCTGCTAGCAATGCTATTATCTTGCAGCATTAGTTTAAGATGGAACAGACCTGCTACCAATCATTCTCTCCCATTTTACTGTACAACTTTTCTTTATGCTTGCAACCACTCTTTCTGAAGATAACTAGACTGACACATCACGGGCACTAAACTCCTCCATGTCTGTAACTTATTACTTAGGTAATTTGATACATGACTAAATCTAATGTTTCAGTCACCTGCCTACACTCATCTAACCTCATCCTACCCATATTTGAGAATGATTGATAGTGGTTCTCCTGCTGATAGATACCAGTAATTCTTTGTGGGAAGAAATAAAACCAGAGAAAGCCACCGATCACTTTCCTTAAATTGTTGCACCTTAAAATAGTAAGGAATTCATTAATCACCAGTCTCGTTAGTGAGCAATCATGGAAGTAGTTTTATTGTAGTTTGCTTTTTGGCCATCTCTAAGACTAGCCATATGGCTTGCCCTTAGCCTGTGGTAAAATACAGATAAAGTATGAAACTTTATGTTATTTGATAGTAAGCGTTCTGCTGTTCTTTCACATAGATCAGTGCAAAGTGGCAGAAAGTTGTAATTGACAAGATTTTATGGGAACCCTCCAAATTCTGTTCACTACCCTGTAGATAAAAGTGGCAACTTTTTCTGGGCCTGAATTTCAGGACCTAGGATATTCAAGCTCCTTTCTTTTTGTGATGTAAATTGGTAAATTTCTCTTCTTAAGACATCTGCACGGAGCATGATTTGCAATATTAAGGATGAATAATGGTAACTGACTGTTTATTTCCATATCACTGGGGTCTTTTTTATATACTTCATTTGTATTGTGTTTATTATTGCAATTCACCGAGAGAAACTGAAAATTGAAAGGAAGGGGAAACTGGAGCGTTGCTCTATCCCATCATAATAAATTTCAAATCTAATCCCATAATTAAACTTTATTATTTTGTAATTAAATTTACATTGATTGATGCAGTGTGTTTGAGACTTTTTTTTTTAAAAAAGTGAGAAGTTATAATCATGTTCCAGAACTCACATGTTGTGCAATTATAATTGTTTATAGAACAGTATCAATTTGATTATATACTTCTCAGGCTTAATTTTTTTAAAAAAAACAACCCCATAATTTTCCTCTTCATACTGACTAATAGAATTACATGAAAATGAATGAAATATTATATTATATGCTTGAAATAAAGCATTGTTATTAAAATTAAGCTTTAAGGTTGTAGGAACAAATTACTCAGCTACTCAGCTAAACAAATAGCCTCTCAAAATAGTTACTGAACACTGAAGTGGTAAAGTAAAAGGCAAATCTTCATACATAGCAATAGAAAAAGTCAGTAACAAAGGATGGAACCATAGCAACCACAGAATTGGACAACTCCAGCCATAGGCATCTCTTGACAAACAGTATCACATATCATTCCCTGCTTAGAGCCTATAACTGTAGGCTGTAACATTCTAACAAGAATCATCTTATTGAATTGAACAAGAATCAGCTTATTAATTGAAAATGAATTAGTGAAAATATGTGTGTTTCTTCCCTCCAAGAAGATTGATCATATGTAAAAGCCAAATACAATACCATGTACATATTGTACATATATTCATACACATTGGCCAATATGACACTTTGGCATAAATTAAAACACTCTACAGGAAACTTAGAGAAACTAAAGATGTATAGTTAAATCTCTGGCTAACAATGTAAAGAAATCAGATTCAGGAGAAAATATTTTTATTGTAAATTGATTTACTAGAGAAATAATAGTGATAATATTCCATACTTTTGTTGTTGCAAAGACAAAGTGATTGCTAAACCCAGTAATAATGCAACATTTTTCTTTAAATACGATATATTGTTGAATGTTTTAGTGTTTCTTGTATTAACTTCTGATAAACATGACAGACAATTTTAGTTTGGAGTACTTTTCCTTTATACTGGGTAAACAGTGATAGCAGAAGCCAAACAACTCCAAACTGACTATTTTAAAATAACCTTGCATTTGAGATGGAAAAAAAAATCAGATTAGTTTGTGTCTCTGTGTGTACTCATATTTTAAAATACAGATGTTTAAAAATACATGATAAACATGTAAAGTACAAAAAGCATCACTAGGCCCAAGATAATGCGATCTAAAATCTTACTTGCTCCTTTTTTTAGATTTGAAGCATCATTGTCTTTTGTTCCGTTTGCTCTACAAATCTCTTATATATTTGGCTGATAGGAAACCAAACCTTAGATTCAGAAAACTTTCAGTAAAGATAAACCAATACAAATTGCAACTAGCCCTTGAAATAGAAAATTGTTTTTCTGACACAGAGGGTTTTCATGTGTCACAACTAAATCAAATGGCAGCTATAATTCTTTTGTCTTTGTGATAATCCATCTTTAGCTATATCTCTATTATAATGTCCAACTTCTAAACATGTCATTTCCTTCACTAAGGTGCCCTGCAAATATATCCTCTACCCATACAGAATAACTTTGTAGTGATGAAAAGGAATTAAGGAAAGATGATTGATACACTTTGAGAGAATTGGCTTGATGTGGTATCAGATGATTAAACTGAATACTTGACTCCTTCTATAGCGAGGGGCTATTTAGCAAGAGAACTGATATCCAGTATTATCACTGATATGATATTGGATATAAAATTATATAATATTCATATTATATTAATCATATTAACCATGATTAATTTATCAAACTCATATAAACCAACTAACATCCTTGACATTCTGTAGTAGGCCAAGAGAAATTATGGATAATTTTTAAAGGTAGCCCCAAACAACATTTATTGCAGTAAACCCAAAAGGAGCTTTCAGAATGAAGACAATTGTTACCATGTAACTTATCAGTCTATTGCTCTTTCTGCCTCTAGTGACAATGCCTTACTTAGGAGCATGTTCAGATTACAAACCTGATATTTTAAGAGATACTCATCCAAGATAAGTTAAACCTCATTTAGCTGGGCAGATGAATATGCTGAGATTGCATGGAAATAAATATGGAATCTCTCCATTTGAAATTTGTGACATAGATTGATTTTAAAGGGGTTGAACTTTGTGTTTATTGATTGCTTGTAAAACAAGAGCTTGGATTAGGCTCGTGAATTTTGCATCCTCAAAAATGTGTTACAGTCCAACTTTACCTGAGGAAAGATAGATAATAACTAATTAAACTGTGTTCAGTGCTCAGAGGCATGAGGCTTCTGAATATCAGATCCTGGGAACAAACAAAAGAAGAAGCTGTTAAATGTCATATCTTGTGTGTCAGCTTACATTGATATTTAGGAGTAATACTACAGATTTGTGAAACTAAATGGATCTTGGTCTTTTGGCATTAAGAAGTCTTTAAACTTTTTAGTTCATCTTTACCCTTTGAGTCAAATGTAACGTTTGCAGGAAATGTATTTGTATTTAGGTTCAAAATTAAGTAAAAATTTTAATTTTAATTTAATTTTAATTTATTGTGCAATAAAAGCATGAAAGTGAGTAGTAACATGAGTGCTGTCATATTCTCATGTGCTTAGGCCTATGTATGATAGGATGCCTATTGTACAAATCAGCCTACAAAAATGGGAACATAAGAGAATTGACACAGCCACTGAAGAACAATTAAAAAGGGTTTCTTCTGCCCAACTGTACAACAGGTTTAAGTTCAATGTTAGTTTACAACTCTTAAAATTAATTTCCTTATTTTCTCAGCAGGTAGTTTCTATATTGTATTTGCCCAAAGAAGAAACACACTGCCCCCAAAATAGTACGAAATAGGATGTCTGTTTCACAAGAATTACCAGTTGTAATATATATGCATTCATGATATTTAGAAATAAATGCTATACCTGTATCATCTGTATCAATCTACTACTTAGGTACTTAGTTATGAATGTTAACCTTCAAAGTCCTTATCTATAATCTTAATATTGAAATCTGACTTGAATTGTACAGCCCATTAAATAAAGTCTTGTCCTCTGTAAAATAAGACCATTGCTGCTGAGTCTGAAAAATAGTTGATAGGTTCCTTGAAGTCTTCATTAGATAAGTGTTTATATCAACTTTAGATGCCTTAAATATCCTGATGATCTGATAAAATAATGTTAATAGTTCAGCTACATAAGTTTAACTAGTATCACTTACACTTGCTATAAAACTTGCTATATTCATTTTTTTTAAAGTCTCCAAAATTGTATACATTGATATATGAAATAACTACTTACTACTAATCTACTTACCATTACTACCGGTTCGCACGTGCACACTCGCTTTACTCACGCATGTGCTCTTTTGCGCATGCGCAGAAGCGTTCTGATGACATCAAGGTCGATGGGCAGAGCCTCCTGCCAGTTTTACTACCAGTTCTATAGAACCGGTGCGAACCGGGGGCAACCCACCACTGGAAATAACCAAAGAATAAAAATAGTTACCTTGAAAGTTCAGTTGTTGTGTTGTAAACAGGTTGTACTTTACAGAAGAGGCTCAGAGTGTTTTTATACACTAAAACCTAATTATAGAATGATGTGTCCTGATCATATTTTTTTTCACACATTGCTATAAATTGTGTTAATCTTGTTCCCAAATCATGAATAAATTATCTTCATTTGTACTAGTGCTATGTTTTTTCTTTATTTCAGCATCATCAGAAAAGCATCAAGGTGTATAAAACCTATTAGGTTTGTTATCCATTATGTTGGAAGAATGAATGACTTCAGTGACAGGTAATAGAGGCAGTGGAGGCAAGTCAAGGATTGAGAATGAATGAATATAGCAAATATTCTGCTAATATAATATTATTAATACTCTGTTGGCTGAAGGATGGGTGGGCAGCCCTTCAATTTAGCAATAGGGAAAGACCCAAAATCTGTGAGCTTATTTCAGATTTGAAAATCTTATAAAGTGCAAGGAAGAAATGCAACTGGTAGAATTGGATTTGAGTAGCTCTGTGCATGTATGGAAGTTGGGGAAAGGGCACAGTATGTAAAAAATAAAATGCTTTGCCATTATGTTCTGTAATATCACCCAACAGAAAAACATAGTAATATGTTGGTTGGAATAACATAATGTCTGGGTATGATTGGAATGCACATGGGTCTTTTTGGTGTTTGAAGAATAGCATTCCTAACTATTCATCACAGAGATTCTGCTATTTATTAACTATGTATATGTCAGCATACTATGTCAGTCTGGTTTTTAATATCCATTAGCATTTGAATATTTTGTAATTAGATTCATAAATACAAATTCTTGTTAAAAGGTGAAGACCAAGAAAAGGAAATTGTTGGGATTTTTGTTTTGTTTTGTTTTAAAGTACACTTTGAGTACACTCTATTTTCCATATATTATAAACATGCTAGGAATAAATTTGGGCTTAATTCATGTGGACCAATGTCTAACAAGCTAAGTCTTAGAAGTGAAGTTATTACTATAGAAAATATGTGTGGCCCTTTTCTAATACAGTTCTTCCAAAACAACAACAATAACAAACAGTATTCTAACCACAGATACCATTTTTTATTCTTGGGGCCACATCTACCACATTTTTTATTCTTGGGGCCACATCTAGCATTTTTCGTTTTGTGTTTGAAAACATTCACCCCAATTGCCATGAGTAAGAACTTCTATGTTAGCAATACCAGTCACAACATGTTGTCAAGATTCTAAGTGTGTCCAAAATTGGATTCAGTGTTATACATTTTACCTATAGATTTTATTTATATGACAGGTTGACAAAATGAGCCCATGTTAAATATTGCTATCTGTAGCAAATTTTAACTGGAATTGATATCAATTTTCATTTGCTTAACGTAACATGGAATGCATTTCAAATGGATTATTTATTTATTTATTTTCTGCCTTTATTATTTTTCAAAATAACTTAAGCTGCTGAATATATCCAACATACCTTCCTCCTTCTATTTTCTTTTCTTAGTGAAACCCAGTATTTGCAGGCATAAAAGACCTGTATCAGATTGGTGTAAGAATATTTGAACTTGTATACTGAAATGCATTGCCAACATTTAATTATTAAACATGTTCTTGAGTTCACCAAAATGAATGAATGCAGACT